CTGTCGGGCCCCGGGGTTCCCACAACCACCTGCACGTGGCGCCCGCAGGCGCGGCTCATTGGCTGAGCGTCAACCCAGGAACCAGGTGGTCCCGGGTTCGATCCGGGTCAGGGCACAGGCCCAGGTGGTAGGCACGACCCCCGTGCAGGAGGCAGCCAATCCGTGACTCCCTCTCATCATGGATGATGTTTCTCTCTCTCTCTCTCTCTCTCTCTCTCTCTCTCTCTCTCTCCCTTCCTCTCTGACATCAATAAAAGACACGCTTTAAAAATAAAACCCGTGACACATGCACCACCGGCATCTACTTTCTACGGAAACCACACCCGTGGGTACTCACTGCCAATGTCCGGCCGCAGCTTCTTATCGTATTCTCTCAGCAGCTTGTTGAGAATGAGCGTCACGTCCGTGTCCTGGGACTTGGGGGCCAAGACCCACTTCTGGTTCGAGGCCGTGTCTTCCTGTTCCTCCTCCTCCGCCTTCCTGGACCTGGGTCACGGCACAAGTGAGAGGACACGTCGGCCCAGCGGCTCCAGGAAGCGTGTCCCACGTGGGCTGCCCGAGGGCCACTGAAGAAGCCACAGAAGTCCCCGCGACCCTCCGCCCAGCCTCCGGATGATCTCTCAAGTCAAAAAGTAAAAGGAGACACAAGTATTCTAATTCTAGACTCGTTAGGAAGCAGGATCCGTGGCATCATGCGTGTGAGAGGTTGGCCACCCACGCGTGTATGGCGCCTGGAGCCTACGACTGAGTTCAAGCTTTTCCTTGCCTGATCTCACACTGCAATTTTATTTCTTGAAGGCATAGTGTCTAGAACAGCGGTTCTCAACCTGTGGGTCGCGACCCCTTTGGCGGTCGAACGACCCTTTCCCAGGGGCCGCCTAAGACCATCCTGCATATCAGATATTTACATGACGATTCATAACAGTAGCAACATGACAGTTAGGAAGTAGCCACGAAAATAATTTTGTGGTTGGGTCACAACAGGAGGAACTGTATTGAAAGGGCCAGAAGGTTGAGAACCACTGGTCTAGAAATAAGCCACCAATAAAAACTGTGAATTGCACACGGCCGGTGTAGCTCAAAGGCTGAACCTCAACCCGTGAACCAGGAGGTCGGGGTTCGATTCCCGGTCGGGGCACACGCCCTGGATGCAGGCCCGATCCCCAGTGGGGGGCGTGCGGGAGGCAGCCGATCGGTGATTCTCTCTCATCATGGATGTTTCTCTCTCTCTCTCCCTCTCCCTTCCTCTCTCGAAATCAATAAAACATATACATACATATTCTTAAATTGCCATGAATTTTGATCCTCAGCAAACCGTCCACCATCAAGAGGAACCGATAAAACTTGGAACACATACTCGGTAAGTGATATGCGACACGTAACACTAGTGACATTTCCTAAATGTCACTAAAAATAGCTCCTTTCACCGGGACTATGGTCAGGAATGTGAATTTTATCATTTGGAATTTAAAAACAAGCAAGCAGTCGTTGACACAGGTCCTGTGGGACACGGCTGGCGATTCATTCCACAGCAAAGGTGTGGGGAGGTGAAGGGAGGGCGGCGGACCTCGGCCAAATCACACCACCTTCTCAGGACGCACGTCCAACTGAGCTCTTCCCTCTCCCTCCCCCCCTTTCTCTCCTCTCCCCCTCCCCCTCCCCACACACCCAAAGACAGCTCCCCAGCAGAGAGACCAGATCCTGCTCCCGTGTGGCGAGGGCCCCAATGGTCTTACGGACACAGATGAGCCCACGGACCCACGCTTGTCAATCCTCCCTGTACACGGCCCCGTGGCTTCTGAGAAATACCTTGGAGCTACTTCGGAGACAGGTATTAAAAGGAATCTCGTTCTCTCCCTCTAGCGGGGATGGAGGGCTTTCCTGGAATTGCATAAGCGGCTTCCCTAGAGGCCCGGGCAGGTGAGAGGGGGGCAGGCAGCCTGCAAGGCGAAGAAGCTGCCTTCTCTCCAGGGAGACGAAGGGGGACCCCGGCTGTGGGGCAGGGCTGGGCTGGACAGGGTGGGGGGCCTGGCACTGGCTCCCCGACTCCTGAGCCCACGTGTCCGCTGGCTGCAGAACTGGAGAGAGAGAATGACACAGAGGCCTCCCAGCGCTCAGGCCCGGACACCCAGCCCCACGGGAAAACCCTCGCCTTGATGAAAGCCAAGTGTCATCTCGGGGGACCCACGGGCGTGCGGATAAAACACGCGCTCCGCTTCTCCACATGCTAAGTGGGTTATATATAATCTTTACGAGCGTTCTGTGCTCGGGACCGCAGGCTCCCGGACGCCACCCCTGCAATTCGCTTCGTCTTAAAAGCAAACCGGCGACGGACTGTCGTTGTCAAGCCGCTGCTCGGACGCTCCGGATGTTACTTCCACGTCTTGCACCTTCTCCTCCACCATTAGGACCAGGATGAAGTCTCAAATCCTTTTCCCCCCCCCCCCCAAATATATATTTTTATTGATTGCAGAGGGGAAGAGTCAAGCCGCTGCTCGGACGCTCCGGATGTTACTTCCATGTCTTGCACCTTCTCTTCCACCATTAGGACCAGGATGAAGTCTCAAATCCTTCCCCCCCCCCCAAATATCTATTTTTATTGATAGCAGAGAGGAAGAGAGAGGGAAAGAGATAGAAACATTCATGATGAGAGAGAATCATGGGTCGGCTGCCTCCTGCACCCCCCCTACTGGGGATGGAGCCCGAAACTCAGACATGTGTCCTTGACTGGAATCGAACCCGGGACCCTTCAGTCCGCAGGCTGACGCTCTATCCACTGAGCCACACTGGCCAGGGGAAGTCTCAACTCCTTTGAAACACTAGCAGGAGCCCCTCAGCCTCAGAGAGCAGCGAAGCCCCTTCCTGGTGTCCCCGAGGACCCGGTGCGACTTAGGTTTCAGGGTACAGTGAGCTCACCCGCGGGGAGTCAGGCTGGGCACACTGCCCCCCAGGGAGCTGCCAAGCCGTCGGCACAGAGCACGCCCGTCTGCCGCCACCTTTCCCAGGGCTCCCCGACCAGGGAGGCCTGCAGGGTGCGAGGGAGACCCCTCCCCGCATGAATAACCGCTTTGAAAAGATCACCCCGCTCACCCGGTCACCCCACGTCGCTAAAACCCACTCGGAGAACAAAGACACCTGCACGCGAGAGGCCGGAAACAACGCCACCCGTTTAAAATTTGCATTTTTTTTTTGCCCGGCGGCGGCGTGGCTCAGTGATCGAGCGGCGACGACCTCTAGGAACCAGGAGGTCACGGTTCGATTCCAGGTCAGAGCACAGGCCCGGGTTGCGGGTTAGATCCCCAGTAGGGGGCGTGCAGGAGGCAGCCGGTCCGTGATTCTCTCTCATCATTGATGATGTTTCTGTCTCTCTTTCCCTCTCCCTACCGCTCTGAAATCAATATAAAAGCTATTTTAAAAAGTAAATTTTGGATTTTTTCCCCCCCAGGTGCTATGCAACCTCAGTTATGGAGGCCAGGGAGCCACCCAGACAGAGAGGATGGGCTGCAATCTGCCCTGAGGGAGACAGAGGGACGGGGGTGGGGGGGGTGCGGACGGGCGTGCCTTTGAGGAGGCCTGGGAACCTGACTGCTTCAAGTTCTACACCACATCCTCCTGCACATCCCACGAGGGACAACACGCCGTTCTCCTAGCACCTTACGAGTCTCCGGATCCACACAGCCAACTCACCCTGAACTGCAGGTCACTCCCCGCAGGAGGCAACAATAGTGGGGTCACGAGACAGGACTTGGGAGCTAGAGGACAGGCCTCGGGGCCTCCACGTCAGGCACAAACCCACCCAGGCAGCACGGACCTCAGGCAGGCACTGGCGCTGTCCTCCCAGCTCCTCCTTAAACAGGAAGAAACTCGCGCCGAAAGGCAAAGGCGCCGGATTGAGGGGGCTGCCTGCGAGTCACCCCAAAGCCTGCTGTCCCCGGCACCCGCCGCCCGCCTTCCACGGTCTCAACTTTCAGTGACAACGTCCTCGCAAGGTGTTCCTCCTGGGGCCCAACGCCCCGATGGCGCATGGGGCGTGAGAACGGGGGCCCCCTCGCCTCTCGGGGGCTCTGTGAACGTGCCTCCCTGGTTCTTTCCTCCTCCACAAACACGCAGGCCGATGTGCTGACCTGCAGGGTCACGGCCCACAGGGACGCTCTCTAGCTCCCAGATGCAGGGCATGAGGAGGTGTCCAAACAAGGGTGTTTTGGGAAAGGGGTTCCCTGAGATTGGGGGGTGGGGGGGAAAGCCAGGGAGCCGCTATCATTTGCAAAGCGCAGGGCAGTCTGCAGTGCTGGGACCAGCCTCGAGCCTGGGTTTATGACCCCGAATCTCTGGCCGTATTTACAGCTGCAGGAGGCCCCGCCCATCCTCACCGGCCACTCCATCCCCACCTGGCGGCCTCTGGGGGGCGGGGTTAAAGGTATTGATTACCTGAGAGGATGTCTTAGTTACCTGGCACAAGCCTTATTGGGGTCTCTTTTGTTGTTGTTTTAAATATATTTTTATCTCAGAGAGGAAGGGGGAGGGAGAGAGGGATGGAAATATCAATGAGGAGCGAGCATCACTGATGCGCTGCCTCCTGCACGCTGCCCGCCACTGGGGGTCCAGCCTGCAACCCGGGCATGTGCACCCTGACCTCCTGGTTCCTACACAGGTCGATGCTCGACCACGGAGCCACGCCAGCCGGGCCTTGTCGTCCATTCCGACACCCTGCGTGTCTGGGGACAGCCGTGTCCGTGTTCCGGGGCGTGCCCAGTGGCTGCTCTGGCAGGCGTGCAGGTGTGTGTGTGTGTGTTCGCGCAGGACCCGGGGAGGGAAGTCCCTTCTGAAAGGCAGGGCTCTCCGCTGGCCGCCCACTGGCCTCCCAGCTGTGAATCTAAAACCTGGGCAGGTGGGAACTCCGGGCTCCTGGGTCCTGGGAAATTCAGAGGGAGAGCCGTGACCGTGTGCATGTGTGTGTGTGTGTGTGTGTGTGTGAGAGAGAGAGAGAGAGAGAGAGAGAGAGAGAC